TTTTATTAATTTTTAACTGAACCCAATTAATTTTTTTTATTTTTTATCAAAAAACTATTCAAAACTTTAGCTCTCATCTAAAATTTTTTTTAGTGATTGTAAAATTACCAAAAAAATCACATAACCTAGACTTATTCTTTACTAAGTTTTTGGAAAATTTCAAGGCTGTAGAACCTCTCAGTGAGGAGCTAAGGGTGCGGAATTACTTTTGTCTAGCACTGTAAATAACAAATAAATAGCATTATTGAAAATAATGCAAAACTTGGTTATTTTTAGAGTTTTTGCTTTGCAAAGCATGTCCAATTATTTTTAATTGAAAATAATTCTTTTGTGCTTATCAAGAAGTTTTAAGGACGATTATTTAAAAGATTTGCAGCAATTTGTACAAATATTATAAAAATTATTGTTAAATGTTCAAATATTATTTTTGATTCAGACGAATTTCTTACCCTTCCAGAAAATATTTTAATTTGTATTTAAAGCTTGATGATCTACAAATGGATAAAGGAAAATTTTGATTATACTATCAACTGGGGCATTGTCTAAAATTTCTCTTTACCTTCTAATCCTGATCAATGATCTGATGAATACTTTTTTTAGCTTTAAAAAGCTCGCTTCAAAATTGTCTTTCTTTGATTTGTTGTTCAAAATCTCTGGTGAAAAAATTGTTGAAAAAGTTCAGTTTTATCAGAATATTTTGATAAAACTTTATAGAGTATATTATGCCAAAATTTATGACTCCAAATAAGGCTATCACTTCGCATATGCACTAATTAATCTAGAACTTTGACCTTGCTAATAATAATGCACAGAAAATTGTATTAAATAAAGCATCAAAAATAAGAAAAACTTATCGTGTTAGAGGAAAATGTGAAGGTCACTTGTAGAATTAACTAAATCATTAGAGATTGAACCAAATAATGCATTTACATTGAAAAATCGGGGTGTCACTTATCTTGATATTGATAAATATGAATAATCACTTTATAACTAACTAAAGCATTAGAGATTAAACAAAATGATGCATTTGCATTAAGATATTATAGAAAAACTTTTATTGTGATATTGTGACAATTTTGTTTATGCATTTAGCCTAATATAAATTAATGAATTTATTACATTTCAATTTTTGTTACTGATACATATCAAACTTTCAAAGCTTTATTTTGATATATACAATAGTAATAATGATATTGTAAGAATATTTTAATATAGGAATATCCATCATCTTTTAATTGAACTTGTATTATACAATTATTCTATAAATGAAAAACAAATTTAAAAATAAGATATAAATAAAATTATGTCATATAAGTTAATTTTACCAGATACATATGGTACTTTTCTTGTGAATAATTTATATATAAAATATCTAATTTACTTTTTTTAAAAGCTGGTTTAGTTAATTGCCTATATAGAAGGTAATCAGGAGATTAAAATGCAATTATTTATAACTCCATGATGTTTATATTCAGGATTTTCAAAAATTGTGTTTGCAAATATAAACTTTTTTTTTTCCCCTTAAGGCAAAATCTGTTCTCGTAACACTTTTATTAGATTTTAAGATAATTTAGTACATATAGGTCCGTTATTTGACATTCCGGTTCGCGGTGTTACTGTTTGTCTCTTCTATTCATGTAATTCTATTTAACTACTTTCTTATACATATTACTTTCAGAGCTGTTTCTCACATAAATATTACTTTTTTTGAATTAAATAAATGTAAACAAATTATGAAAATTTTTTAATCAAAATATTCACTCTAACCCAGATAAGTTATATTTTTGGAGATAGAAAGTCAAGCAGTGATAACGTGATGATCTGCTTAATAATCAGTTGGGGTTGTTAAAACATATCTGACAACGTAATATAACATAATGTAAGATACAAGTCAATCAAGATATCACGCAAATCAGGTGAATAAATCTTTTACTATGAAATTTAAGTAATCGACACTCATATTAAAAATTGATTTTCATAGTAAATTGCAACAGTTAGCCATATTTAGCCATTGTTTTCTAAAAGGAAACTACACTTACGGGATGTAGTGAGTGTTCAGAAAGTATGATGAGCAAGTTTAAAATGAGATAAAAAAGTAAATTTAAAAGAATCTTGCTCACAAAGATAGCCTTCCATTTCATATTCTATAACACTTGCAGTACAATAGGTCTTGATGTTTTGCTGATTTATGAAAGTATTTTTATATAATATAAATATTTTTAACTTTATTCTGTTTTTAAAAGCTTTTTAATAAAAAAAGAATGAAGTATTAAAGTATTGTAATTATGTTTTATTGTCAAGAACAAACTATATGTTGAATTAAAAGATTTAAGCAGAAAAAAAGTTATTACTATAGCTATTTATACTATGTGAACTTATAATTAGGCTTATTAGAAATTAGTTTAGTAATAGTTAACAAACATGTATTATTGTATTAATTGAACTAAAAAAAAATTATCGTGTATTTTTTATTAAAAATAGTATTACTTTATTTTTGTTATTTACAGTCATATATACACTCTCATAAAATTAATTTTGTAATTATTCTAGTTGATACAATAATAACACTAATCAGTTTTATTAAAAAAAAATAGTATCTAGCTAATTTACTAGTTATATAGATAAGAAAAAAAAGAATTTGACAAAAAAAAAATAAATACAAAAAATTATATATCACATAAACAATTGATCAGAATCATATAATTTTGGTACCATTGGATTTGTTTCATTGAGATGAATTAAATAGTACCAAAATTATATAATTCTGATCAATTATTCATAAGATATTTAATTTTTTGTACAGTATGGAATAGCAAGAAACATCCAATTTTTTTCAGAGACCGCCAAATTTGAGTTATGTAACACAATTTCTGATTGGCTAATTTTTAATAATGCGCCAAATTTAGGTTATATAATACAATTTCTGATTGGTTAAAACATCAATATAATAAGCTAGAGTACTATGATTAATTGAAGTAATCTGTATAGTAATTTTGCCAAAGAATATTAAATTTAGCCAATCAGCATAACTTTATGATAAAAAAGATGGCTCTAACTATTTTTTTTTTCATTATGTCACTTGATGAATGATTTATTTTTCACTAAGAGCACCAATCCATTAATTTAATGTTTCTAAAGTTTCAGTACTGTATAAAAAATTTCTTTATTTTATCGTTTGCAATTCTGGTTATAGATGCTTGACGAAATATTTCGCCTAACAAAACCATAAGTTTCGTCATAGTTTCATCACTAATGAAATGACGAAACTATTATGTTTTATCAGGCCACATGAATTTCGTCAGACATTATTAATTCTGGTATGTATATACATATACTGTCATTTTATATTATCTTAAAATTAATATCTGGGTACTATTTATTTTACCCATCTTGCTTAGTTCTGAAATAATCCCAAATACAACTATATTTATTATTTTATTTTATTCCATTCTTAACCATAGTGAATGAATTATTTGAAAAATCAGAATTCTGGTTTTAAGTTTTTAATAAATCTTATATAGGCGCTATTCAATAGAAAAGAGAAAAATCTCTTTTTATTGAACAGCGCCATATATTTCTTGGACAGTAAACTAATTCTACAGTCTTCTTCGCAATAAAGCATCGTTCGATCATGTTTATCAGGTTTAGCAACTTTGTAAGTTTAAATATATTTCTTGATGGCATCTTTCACAAACATGAAATGTTTAAGAATTTTTTTATTTGAGAGGTTTTTTTTTGAATTTTAGTAATTATGATATTATACGTTTAGAACAGCTTGAACCTTTTTACAACAAAATTGTTTCAATGAAATATATTATAAAATCAAGATTTTTTAATAAATCATATATTTATAAAAATGGGTAAATCAAATACATACAGTATAATTTTTTTTTATGAAAAAAATATAACTTTAAAATTATAAAGCCAGCAAAACTAATCGGTAAAACCCTTTTTTTTTACCTTAATAATTCATTAACTCGATTCATAATTTCTTCATTAATCGTTCTGTGCCTTTTATTTTTTTTGACAGCATATTCAGCCACTTTTCCTATTAATCCATGATGGTAAGCATTCATCCATCTGTATGACAGCCTGGCAAAGAAACAAATTCTCTCTACAGGAATGGAGTCAAAAGCCAAAATGATCGATTTTCTGGTTTTTGGAAGTGAATATTCACAATTGGCTCGAGTATATCTCTTAGCTATTCCCCAATACATTTCAATATAGTTGAGCTCAGGGTAAAACTTGGAATAGAATATAACCTTATGCCTATGTAACTCAATTTCATGTTGAATTTGACCACGTTGTTCAAGAAAATCTGGCTGATTAGCTATTAAACGACGTGCATAGCAATCAATAATATTCGGATTTGTCTTTTTTTTTTTACATGAAATATACTCAAGCACCATATTATCATGCAATAGCCCTCTCTCATTAAGAACCCACCGGATTTCTTTAGGCTGCCTATGCAAATTCACACGAGTTTTTTGTTTTTTGTTATAAACAAAATAATCGTTTTCGATAATCATTGATTGACGAACGCCATTCTATACAGTTTCTCGCATTTTTGATGCTGAACCACCTGGACTAAGGTTCATTTTTGAGGCCACAAGAGCATCCTCAAAAAATGCTTTATGGGATGTGGCATTGTCGAACGCAAATACTCCTACACACTATGGATGCGTTCGTTCAAAAATTCTAATCACCTGTTTTACTTGTTCAAGAAGTTTTTCAGAGTCCCAATAACCATCGCGATTAGTACCCAAAACCTGATAATTTTAATTAAAAAGTAAAATAAATATTTAAAGATGTTAATTTTAATTATCTTAAAACATTAAATTACTAATTTAAAATAACCTCTAACCATCATTACACGTGCTTCCTCCTGTTCATCTTTAAGCGAGCCTATAGTTTCTGTTAAAAAATCACTTATATGTATAGCAAAACCCAGCTCTTTTTTTTTCAATAGCTATTCACCCTCCGGGCCCCACACAGAATGTGGTCCATCATAGACATAAAAGGTGGTTTCATCGTGTATTACCCATACATGCTCCTTTTCATCACAATTTAAATCAGAAAAGGTCCTTATTCTGCATTCTGGGTTGACCCACTTGGACATAAATCATTCAAGCTAGGCAACCTCCTGGAGAAACTTTTCATGATATTCGACAACATCAAGTCGCTCATACTCGTTTACGTATACACCTTTTTGATATCGTTAAAAATGAAAACCAAGCTTGTGCATTCACCAATGTGCAGTTCTAACTGAAATTTGTTGCACAGGGAAAGAATTTCTTGTTCAAAATAACTTTTGACTATAATAGGGTCTATAGTAAATTTTTTAGAGTGCAGATAAGAGGTCACTTGAAGAGAAACCAACTTATTATGAAGTAGGCTTTTTGAAGGGGATCTTTCTCGAAGATCTGACTTAATTAACTTATTTCTCATACAATTGTTCGCCCACTTCCTAATGTATCGTGCAAGCCATGGTCCACCATTAACAATACCTGTGACAGTTTTTGACTCTTCAATTTTTTTTTGACCTTGTAAACGTAGCCGAAGGAAATAAAGAACTGTCAAATAACGAGCCTCTTCGCTTGTTGAAAGCACTTTGTTATCCATTACTCCTTCTACAAATTCAATTGCACTGCAGATTTTTTTTTTCTTTTTATCCAATTCTTCATTCAATTCTTCGTCCAATTCATCATCACTCTATTTACCAATATCATTAATCTTATATCAAACATTAAACTTTTTTTTTTTTTTTAATAATCTGCTACCTAATTATCCTGGTCTTGAAAGTTTTCATAACTCTGATTATTATCTACCATTGGTAGAGCATTGGAAAAAAATTGAGTAATTTTATAACTTCCTATAGCCGCTTCTTTGAAGACCTTATTTTTTCTTTGTCTAGTATGTTTAGAATTCCCAACATAAGTTGCAGGGCACCTTTTTTTTTCAGAACCTACTGTCAAAGCTTCAATTATTAAATTCGCATCACCAAGGTCGTCCAGCTCCATAAAATTGTTATCCGAACTTTTATCTGAATTATCATTGGAATCAACATATTCCTCACTTGAATCAAGATCAATAAGAGAATAAGATATACATGCAGAACGAGCTAGCACAGCTTTTGTTTGCTGCGCCTTTTTAGTGCTTTTCGGTTTTGTTATTACAAAATAAGAAAAAAAAAGTTACAGTATGAAATATTATAAGATAGAATTCGCTAGTTTTTTTTTTTTTTTTTTTTTTTTTTTTAGACTCTTTATATACAGCCTACATTGCGACCTATTTAATCTGGTAAAAAAAAAATCCCAGGCTACAAACTGCGACAGCAAATATTATTAATATTATAAAACAGGATTTAAATCAAAAGATTACTATCCATCATTTATTCAAAATTTTATAAGTTCAAGATTTTATATGAGAATTTATTCAATTCTATGTAAGAAGA